TTGACTCCTAGCGGAAACTCTATGAGCTTCTCAAACTCGACTTTCACTCTGTCAACTATTTCTTTTCGTTCCTTTGCTCCACAGAGTCCTCCGGGTTCAATCTTGGTTTCTTCTACCTTCTCAATGGAGCGGTTCTCTTTTTCAATTGTCACCAATCCATTTGGTTTGTTGGTATTCAGAACAATCATATCGACGACGGTGTAAGCGTAACCTTGGAAATACAAATACTTTCATGTGTACTTCTTATGCACAGTAGTACATAAAAATACGAATTTTTCTTGTCAAATAGACAACTTTCACATTTACAAGTTATTCCCCTTTGCAGGGTCAGTCCGGGGTCAACCGGCGTAAGGCCCTTTCTTCTCTCTACAACCTTATTAACTTTATGGGTCAGTCTCATAGGAAAAAAAAAGTCTATGAATATGTTCAATATTTTTTACATGTTACCCCATACTCTGGCAATACAAGTCGAAATTGTCCAATAACGTTCGAAGATTAAAAATATTAACAGGTAACTTACAAAGGACAAAGTGGGGGTAATGAGCGTTACACCGACAATGGGAGATAACTCTTAGGAATGTGAAATTCGTCTATTCAAAATCATTGAATTTTATTCATTACTACATTCAACATCACAGGTAAAACTAAAATGTGTTGTAAGACTATGCAAAAAATAGCATCTTTACTTAAACATGAAGACTCTGCATAGGAAAAGTGTATTTTATACTTCTTTCTTTATTTCTTTTTTTTATTTCATTTAATTTCCATTGCAAAAAGATGATCCAAATAAATAATCAAAATGTGTCTATATCGGATTAAATTTGTACCTTTTTTGCCGATAAAATCTAAAGCAACCGTGTCATCTCCCTCATAATCAGTGTTTTTATCGTCCTTTTCATCGTCTTTTTCGTCGTCTTCTTCTTCTTCATCATCTTTACTTCCACTTGTCTCACTGGAGATTTTCCTGCAGTTCCCTTTAAACAACAACTGCAAATAAATTAATACAAATATAAACAAATGTAAGGCGATGATTTTAAAAACACTAGAAACAGGGAGGTATTTTTGTTTTTAAATTTGCCTATATATCTCTCTTACCGTTTGGATATGAAATATGACACCAAAAGACAAAGATTTGCATATATTTTGATTGACCATCATTACAACTTCTTTATTATGAGAACAATGCACAGATATTACACAAACACACACACACAGATATACCCTCACACACAGATCAGCTAAATCTGTGTAGACTTTGGAGACGAGATCATCCAACATATACTGTTGGAAATTTAAAGGTCACTAATTGTGCCACTACATTAACCGACCTGTTATTATCTTCCCATAATTTAAGTCATTGATTGTAGTTTTTATCTTTCTTTCAAAAGCAGATATCTGCTTATTAAGCATTTGACTCGCCATTCAGACATATTGATATGACTACTCGATATAACATATTTTACGTAAAGTATGACACCATAGAATCTTCCACACCTTTTTCAAATTTTAGTTAAACTTGAAATTGATGATGAATACAAACTAATTAATAAAAAGTATGACAAACAAGATAACTTCAGCTCTTCCAACGTAAAATATCCTTTATTGGTGTATGCCTATATTTCATTTTCACCTGCACAAAGTCTCCCAATGTATTCATTTTTTCTTGAGATTGTCAATGACTTTTTGTGCATTTACTTTTAAATTACTTTTTTGGGGAATATATTTTGAAAAGGAATAGTATTTTTGTAAACTCAATCCACAGATTGTTATTTTTGAGACGTAACACCAATTCCTGTTCGCGATAATTAAAGCAATATCATGATTTTAATTTCCATTAAAAGATTTCAGTATATAAAAAATTAATTCACCAAGGAAAACATTATACTTCATATACGAGTAGACGAGTCTTGTAGATGTGTAATTAGATAAAAACTAAACACTTACTATATTCTGGAAGAATTGATAATCAAATAAATACTTATCTCCTTTGAGAACGAACAAACCACCTTTTAAAACAACCCGGTTGAAGAATCCTAGAATAATTCGTAGTTTCCAGGAGCCTTTTAAGCAAAAACTGTTTCCGATATTTCTCCAGTGCAACTTTTTATTGTCTTTGTTTCAGAAAAAAGCAATAAAACAAACTATAGCAAATATTTCTCAGTGTAAAAATGTTCATTGATTTTATTTAAATGATGTTATATCAAGCAGAAATATCGGTACACTGTAACAATCTTTGTCAATATTCATTGGAAGAGAAAGTATCATAAGATCTGCTCGAAATTGTTTTGGTTTCCAAACATCTCCTTTATACACCTGTATATTAGATGCAGTGAGTAAACATTTTTAAATTTATGAAATTTTACCTTAAAAGTCTGATTTTCGTCAATGACAAAGGTTCCATCTAGGCCAGTCACAGATTCACAGCCTTCCTCACTCTCCCATTTCGATTTTCCCTTTTTTAGCCTTTTGGTGGTCCAACACTCAAGGATGAATTGAAATTTTCCTCTTTCTTGCTCCAGACGCGTAAAAACTAGAAATTCCACTTTCCGTTTCTTCTGAATGGAACGCTGGATGGCTTCAACAAGTTCTTGTTTATCCTCCAACGCTTTTTTCTTGCTAGCCCCAGCATAGCTGTAAATCTTGTACTTGTCATATATGATAATATGTAATGCTACTGCCTCCAAGCATAGACACATTAAAAGGTATATTAGAAATATAGTACTAATTGAACTAAATGAGTAAGAATTGTAACTCCAACTCTAAAAAAAATTTCAAATATTCAAATACCGTACCAGATGAATTTCTTGTTCAATACTAAGGAAAATATATATTATTTATTCCTATCATATGCATATGAATTTTATGAAGTAGGAGATGATGAAATTGACATTGAGGAAATAATTGTGAAGATGGAGGTAAGGCACATGTTTTATATAAAATAGAGAACTGATTAACTTCAGTCCTGATCTGTTTCTTACATCGAGAAATGTTTTATCCTGAAAACAGCAGCTCTTCCTTTTGGATCTCTCTGAGCTTCAATAATCTGTTAATCAAGCATATAAAATTGTAAAAAGTAAATATAACCAACAGCGATCGACATCAACAAATCTATAAACAATAAAAATTTGTGAAAAGCGCATAAAAACGGAACCCTGAAAATTCAAAAGGTGGGATTAGGTGTAAAGAGGAGTAAGCATTTCCTGTTTACCGGCTATAAGGGCCGTATGTACTTATCAGACAGAGGGGGTCATTTTGGTATTTAAAACAAAGACTTTATAATTCGTGTGACACACGACAGCAAATTTACGATCCAATGACTGATTTCGTATTGCTCTTTTACAAATACATTTTTTTTTCCAGAGTCAGTCCTCTATGTGAATTTTGACTACGCTATTCCTTATCATCTAGCGTATAATTATCAAACATGAAAATTTCCTTTTAAAATGAGTAAAGGTTTTTGTTGAGAGAAAAATGTAGTGCAAATTTATAATTAACCTCCCAATCATCCGCGTCATCTGGGTCTTCTTCTGAAGTGGCCAAAACACACATCTCGTCTTCCTCCCCGCCTTTCTGGTGGATGGGTAGTTTCATCACAATCTCCTCTTTTGGTTGCTGTCCATCGCTCATCGACATATCGATTACATTTGTCATCAGAAGAGGCCCAGTCTCATCGACCTCGTCCTCGTTCACATCTTTTGTGTCAACCACCTTAAAATAATTAGGTTTTTTACATTAACGTAGTTATTGTGATGAAATTGTTTATAAAAATGCTATACAATTAAAATTTGAAATCCTCTGTTTCAAGATAAGTAAACAAATGATTAATATTTTGGCTTTTATGTCACAAAATTACCCTTACAACAGTATATAAAATTACAATATTGGAAAAAAATTTTTTTTGAAATTGAATAAGGAGAAAGTTAACGTGGAACACTAAAGTGTTTCTCTTACATTAAGTTGAAGCTCGGCCGCTTTTTCGAACGTTCCCTTTGGAATTTCGATTTCTGCCTCAGGCTCAGAGGTCGGTTGGATGACGACCTCTTCCTGTGATATTGCAAACGTCTCTTTCTTGAAGACACTTACGATTGCAAACTGTGTAGATCCCTTGGGATTCATTTTTATTGTAATAAGCACTTCTGTTGTCTGTAAAGAATATATAAGATTTTTTCGAAATATGTCATCATCCTATACAACTAAATAATAAAATTGACGATATAAATTTTAATGTATTGCATTCACAATTAAATTATGATTACGACAAATTGTAAATGCAAAAAGGACTTACATTTTCGTCTTCATTCTTGACGAAGTTATCCACTCGTCCGATCTGGCCGTGAGGTGAAATAACGGATAAATGTTCGTTACATTTAGGAACTCCTTCAACAATTAATGACAAAGTGAATGTTTTACGAGTTACTCCCCATTGTCGAATTTCAAACATGTCACTGTATGGTATTTGCTCCTCGTGTAGGAGTGATTTAAGTTCTGTGTATTCTGATTGCATTTTTCGACAGAAAAATATAAAGGGATTCCGTGCATCCATTGCTTTCAGTGTTAACTTCAATTTCTCCATAACACAATCCTCGTTAGGTTTCACATACACAACTTCAAATTTTATTCCCCTTGAAAAGTAAACAAAATGAATTCAAATAATCTGGATATGAAGGTTAATTTTTAATGACTAGCTATCCTTTTTTTAAAAGGTAAGAAAAGATTTTAGGAAGGTATACAGGTTGTACGGACTAGACAAAAAAGTATAATAAAGTATAATATAAGTTTTTTATGTTCACTGTAAAGTGAAATTTGGAGTTAATGAGCAAATACAAAACTCAAGAGACAGTCCATTAAAAAAATACAAATGGGGAGCAGAGTAATAATCAACGTACTCATATTTGTATCCGGGGACAAGAGGGATATGGTTTGTTATAAGTTCTTGAATTTTCTTCTCCTTTTCTTTCATATCCATGACCCATGTCTAGAGATGTATTTAAAAAATTCAGTATAGTAGTCAACAAAATCAGATCATAGATGTTACATGTTGTATAATCATTTGATCATATCTTTTTAAATTGGCAGTCTTGAACTATACATGTATTTAAATCATTTTGTCAATCATTTTTTTAATTTATTTGCAATGTTAACTGAAATGTAAACCTACATAATGAATGAAAATATGCCAGACAAGTCTGATGTTCTAGTTTTTGTGTCCTTTAAAATTAAATTATCTGTTATTGCTGTAATATGAAACTTTTTGTATATATACCCAGTCCTGTAAGTTTGGTTCTGCACCAAACGTAAGTAACCACTCTACAACCTCTACGGAGCGGGAGAGGACGGCCTTTTCAAATGGAGTGTGGTTATCCTGTGATTTAACAATGTAACATTACATGTGCATATCAAGTTAGATCCAGCATACATCAAAGAAAATGTTCATATTTGCTTTCAGTTGTACATGTGATTTTAAATGTTCAATTGAATTCCACAAGAAAATGATTTATTTCACACATTACTTTCAAATATTGTTAGAATCTACATAAATTATAAAAACTAAATTAAAGAAAAACTTATCTTACTAATATAATATCTAACCTTTATTTATTTCTATATATTTTTTCAAATCAAAATCTGTGAAAATAATTAGGTTTTTTTCAATTTTGAACATTGTGATAAGAATAAACATCAAAAAAATCTTACCCAGTCTAATGAAGCCACTTGAGCACCATTAGCTACCAGGGTAATAACTACGTCTAAGTGACCCCGGGCTGAAGCTTTATGTAAGGGAGACTGTCCATTCTAAACAAAATAATAAAATAGGTAAAGACTTTGAAATATATTTGATTTGAAGATTTCATCAACAGATTTGCTTGAACATACCTCACATGATCATTATTCATAATTTTAAAGACAAGCAAATTATTATAAACAATTGACAAAATGCTAGAACATAACTTCTGATATTTCTAGGGGAGATTTTTTATACATTGTTCAAATATGTTTTATTGATTTGTATATTTTTGTTTGCTAGAAATTCACATAGCTATTTGATGTCCTGTTCACATAAATATTATTTCATGATCAGCTCCTTTATTATCATTGTAAATATCAATATAGAACAATCGTGTAAAAACTTTTATTTTTAATTCATGCTTTATCCATGGATCAAATTCGTTATCTCTTAAAAATTCTGTTCATTTTTAAAATCATTTTGATGGAATTTTTTTTTAAATTTTTATTTCTAAATTTCCCTATATTATACGTAGGCATTATATCATTTACGACACCTTAAGAACCACAATGCCTGCATAAATATCAAAAGTAAATAAACTAGAACATGTCTTTAATATTTCGGCATTTGGTATATATTGCTTATATTTTTTTTTTCACTAAATGGTAGCTTATTTAATATTCTCTCAATATTCTTTATCTCACACGGTTGGCACTCCGAATTCAAGATATGCTTTTCATTTTTGAGCGCACGTCGGTGCAATTTTTTTTCCATATGAAAAGATTCATATTGGAACTTTGCCATCATTAATTCACCATTGCTACCTGCCGGAGTGATTTTTCTAAAGCGGATTTATCCAGTTAAATTGAATGACATGTAAACAATATATCCCATTACATGTATTTGGTAACTGAATTGAAAAATACGTACGTGATCAAAACAGTTGACATGCGCTCCCGCCTCCAGAAGTAGGTTAACAATTTCAATAAGGCCTTCTTGTGCTGCATAATGTAAACATTGGCACCCAATCTAAAACAATATTGATAAAAAATAAATATTTATACACTTGAAATTCATAAAATTATATTCATGTGTTTCAAACTACCCCATAATTTTGTCATCATATATTTACATTGTTCTTTTGGTGTTTTCCGACATGTAATTCATAGAATGTGCATATATCTTGCATTTTGTAATTTAAAAAAAAAACATTTTTGCACTTTTCTTTTTAAAAAAGATCAAAATTAATATTATACTTTCATTTTGATTGTTGCATTAAAAATTTATTATATTAGAAAAATTACATTTTTATGTTTAAAGTCAATACCTTATCTTTGTGGTGTATGTCAGGTTTTTCCTCCAATAGCTTCTTTGCTTCTGAAATCTTTTTCTCTCTAATTGCTCGTTGAAGACGAATAGCAAGGAGCTGCAAAACAACAGTATTAATATCATTTCTTATAAAGCAAAATTATTGATAAACAGCACAAGACAAAATAGTAATAAAACGTTAGCCGAAATGTGAAGAAATATATGGAGACAACAAACAGTATTCAAGCTAAAAAATATTTGAGTTCCCCTTTCTTGACCACCAATTTGTAAACTGTGTTTACATCTTCCGTCATTTACTTTAATAAATGATATTATTTACTTCTTCATGATGCTATTTGTTTTGCCTGTTTTTAACAAAGTACAAACTCAGTCGTTTGGCAGCATAACTAAGGAACATAAATTTATTTTTTATTTATTCGAATAAAGGCTTATTATTGTTGGACAAACAGACGGTAGGAAAAGAGACGAGGTACATGTATTCATTGTGTTTGTAGACATAAGTTCAACTTTTGGCAGGAGATGAGGGCATTTAACTGATAAGAAAAATCTACGTCTATAAACTCGCAGTATGCTTGTTTCTTTTATAGAAAACAAATGGAAAATAAAAAAAGTGAAATGCTATAGTAAAAGGTAGAAATAACAAACAGTGATTGGTCTCAAAAAATTTGTAAACAATACACATTTGTGGAGAGAGATTCACTGGCTTCCAGAAATTCCAGAATTTATCCCAAGTTATCTTTATTTGTGTATGGAAAGAACTATATATTGCATATTTTTGCCCCCACAAAAGTCATATTTAGAAAATTTCTAGAAATGTGCTGAATTGTATAATTTGTTTGAGAACTATCAATTAACAAAATCATATTATAGTTTCAAAGTTGGTTTTTTCAGTGCTTTGAAGTCTGCAGCTATCCCCCTGTTTTAGAACATAACTATATATTTCTCCGTCAAAGTTTGATTTTGGGGGCAAATATTGTTCATTACCGAATAAAGTTCTTTTAAGATACTTTATTATTTATCTGCAACATGTGTTGTATTTCTAATATGCATGTTCAGCAGCAAATGATTGTGTATTGTTAAAAATTGTATAACTGTTATTATAAGGTTTGATCTGAAAAATCAGCATTACATTTTTTCTATTTATTTTAAAATGCTTCTGAGCCATTAATGAATGAAAAAAAAATTCAAAACAAATGACTTTTATTGAAAAAATGCATTATATTATACTCGTGTCCATATTTTAAATAAGAGAGTTGTTTAATATTGGTACCATGATTAACATTCAATTAAAAACTTTTAAGAAATAATCATAACAAAACCCTTATTTATATATAAAAAAATAAATCAGTCAAATGAAAGAATGGTATAGATAAGATCCATAAATTATTTCACTTCTATGACAAAATGCATAAATTGCATGAGTTCACATTTGTGTAGCTTCTGTACTATATAAGTTTATAAAACTGAGATTCTTAACAAATAAGGGCCCAATAGTTAAATTGAAATCAAGAGATGACTTTTTGTTCATTCTTTAAACAAATGTGATAAACAAGTTTGATTTGCGAAATTTTAAAGCATCAACTTTCATAAAATAAAAAAAGCACGTCATATGATCATCTTTTTTGTGCTAAACATATGTGTATATATTTTTTCAAAAAGGTGGCAAGAAATATACAAAATCTACTTTTTCAAGAAGAAAATTTACACATTCAAAGTTGCCAGAGAACACCAGCTTTAAAAAGAAAGCAAAAGGAAATTGTCCTTTTATTTACAATTAACAATTCCATTGTCTCCCATATATATAATCTGCTAATTGACTTTTGAAGATGTCATCATAAGGGTACTTTTTTTGACGTTTTGTTTTTTTGGAAGTCACGATGTTATCATTACGGCACAGGACATCAATCTTCTAATCAAAATAAAAATTAATAAAAATATGTTGGAGAATCTCTCTGTTGGTAGGTTTTTTTCAATAATTTTTCTGGTGTT